GTAACCAGTTTCAGTGTTGTTCTGGCCATTGAGAGAAATCAAGGCGTTGAACAGTCAGATGGGGCTGCAAGTAGAAAATATTCTAATGCATAACTTTCTCCAACAATCTCTAGAGAAGATACTAGATATGGATGTTATGGGATATTTTCCTTGCTTCTATTCAGTGTAAATAAACTTATTAGAAACACAGAGTTTATGACAACATTGTCTAGGTCTGGGACAAAGTGAATATAGAAAAGAGAAAGGACTGATATAAAAAGAAAGGAGAAAATGAATCTCATTCCTACAGGTTGTATCAGATTTAGAGACTTCATTTACATTGAGACAAGAATGGTGGACAAAAATACATTTCATGAAATTATTTACAGCATCAAGTCTTAGGAGCAGGTGAAACAGTTCCATTTGGTATTATGGTCCACAAAACCATCCAAAGGAAGCCTATTTTCTAAACCAGGGCTGTCAAACTCCCGGCCCATCACGTGCTGGTCACACCCACACCCAGTTTAGCAAAGGGGAAAAACTCCTGATACATCACATGATGCTGCCATGATGTGAGTTTGACACCCCCGTCTAAGGTCTTCAAAAAGGAGTAATAGCATTTTAAGCTTATTGTATTGTTTCCCTTTCATGAACATCAAAACCAACAGATGTACATAAACAGGTATGTAAAAAAGAAAAAAAATAAGTGATTCTAGTGAGCGTTGTTGTAATAAGTATCAGTGGAAAGACAGTAGTTCTGTGTAGTTTTACTAGCCACAAAAATACTTGACAAAAAAAAATGGTTGGCAAAACCCAGGGATAATAATTCAGATTTCATTCAGGTTTCTCTTTAAAATTTACCCTCAGAATAAAGTGATACATGTATGTAATGACTAAATGTGAGAAAAATTAAGCTTCACCATTTTATTATTCGTCTTAGCTGTAAATATATAGAATAAAAATAAAATATTTGATAGATAAATCCTATAGAAATAACTTCCACTAAAATTAGTAGAAAATTAGTATCCTTGATTGCCCAGGATGAGATGCCTATTTAGTTTACTAGTTGCTATAAACTACACAGGGATCTGAGCATTTTCATGTATAGATATTATTAAGTTTAGAAATGATTGTTCATCTTAAAAACATTCTCATTTCCAGGCCACTGACATCCTGGTAAAATTCAAACATCACACCCCAAGCAATGTGGTGTTGTGGTTAAAGCATACAGTATACTCTTAAGTATGGCAATTTACCAGCAAACGTGTGATACAGAAAACAATGATTAAATATCACATTATCATGGTTGCCATCTTAACTATTTTGAACATGCTGTGGATACCATTATGAATTGCTATCAATCAGGTCACTCTACTTCACAAAATTGTGAAGTTAAAAAATGAAAATGATCAAAGGATTAGTATATATTGCTTAACTTGCTATAGCAAAGGTGGGAAATAGGCTTAATAAATAGTCACAAACATGACTTGTCAGATGTTTAAGACAATGGACAATTTGAGACAAACTTGGAAGAGGAGTAGCAGAATCTGGGGAATGGAGTTAAAAGATGAATCAGCCTAGAATCTGTTAAATCCAAACTCCCTGTAATTTCATTAATTCTTACTTAGCACCAAAATGGTGCTGTTAGTTGAGAAGATTCGTGAGCATGGGCATGAGAAATAAAGTTCAATTGGAGCTTCATGTTTACACTTGGTCTTTTGTGCCTGACAAGCCTTACGTGCATGGCTCATATTTTCAAGAGATATATTTCAGGTACGGAAGAATAAACAACTCTTCAATGAAGAAATTATTAGTTAAAAAGGAGGAGGAAAAAGGTTCCTACAATGGAATTTCTCAGAGAGGAATGGCAATTTTTAAAAAAAGGTTTTTTTTTTTAAAAAAAAGTGTTCAACAGCTCACCTTCAATAAAATAGATCTAGTCACCAATACATACAGTCTACATAGAGTTAAATGTATGTCAACAGACTAACAGTTTAAGTTCAGTTGAAAGCCATATTTCATAATAGTTATAAATAGTAATGTAATAATGTCATATTCTTTGTCGTAGTCAATGGGATAATGGGTGGGAATGAAGTTGTGTAATTCTTTGATCGACAGATTAAACAATCTCTCATATCATATCAGAAGGTGCACACACTTGGTACGCTTATTTATATTTCTATGTATCTTCAGTTTCTTTAAATTAAAGACCCTTAAATTGCAATTAAGATATAGCCCTTTTAAAAATACGCAGAATACTTGTTATAAATCACAAAGTTTAATCCATAAAATCTACATGTATAATCAGAAAATAGATGTATCTAAAAGATTCTCTGGCCTCAAAACTGCAATCTAATTTTTCTGGGTTGCAGTCAAGCAAGAAGGCTTGGAAGAGATCTTTCAATTATGTAACAGTAGAAAAGAAAGCTTTGTGCTTGCTTAAGAACCTTAATTCAGCTTAATGTCTTAAGATCTCATGACAAGCAGAATTCAAGAGATATATAACAAACTGAAGTGCAACACTGAGGTTGTTGGTTTTAAAATAGTTAAAAAAATAAAAACAAATGTTATCACAATGAATATTTTTTTAAGAAGCATACCCAGATGTTGCAAAATATTTAATGTACAAAACATCCATGTATCCAACAGGTGGTTTGGCTAAGGTGACCAGATTTTCAGATTGGTAAAGAGGAACATCTTTGACCGGGGGGGGGGG